TGGATGAGTGGGCTGCGGGGGCGTTCCGCCGTTCATGGGAGGTGGTGGACGCTGCCTGACCGACATTGAGGAGGGAGGAGGAGGAGGAGGAGGACAGAGCTGCCGGGAACAAGTTGCCTGTGCCAATAATTCGAGACGCAGTCCCGAGCAGTTTCGATTATGTAATACCCCTATTAGGCGTGCTCTGCTCATCGTCGCACGCGTCCTCAAAGGCTCGACCCTTCATATCCTCGATGCTCTCTCTGCCTTTCATTCTTCTGTGTTTTGACGTTTGCCTCAGCGATAACTCCTCCACTCGTGAATCCATATCGCTCGGACTAGAACCGTCCCAGCTTTTGGCAAACTTCGCAATCACGATTCGACTGCGCGACCAGTGCGAAGACTATTTTCACAGATGCTCCAGATCGTCTTGGTGAAAGTCTTATTGCGGTCTAGTCCCTACTTGTCGCTTGAATGGTCTCATCTACTTGTAACCCCATTTACCAGTGAAATGAAATCCGAGACATGTTATTATGACGCTCTCCGCTGGAGCCTCGAACTCTACTGGCGCCTGAGACCTCCACACTTCATGCCGGCAAACACCCTTCAAACCATGAATCGTGTCATTGAGTCTCCTTCGTGACGCTTCGGATCCGCTTGGATATTCCAGCCGAGGTCCGAATAAGCCGTGGAGCTTCGTTCCCCAGAACGTGGAGCGCGACTCTTCCTCGTGCCGTGGTAGGAAACGCTCGTTATGTTGCCCATGTATGCTTACTGTCCCGCCGTGCTGCGTGTACTATCATTTGAAGGTCCCTTTCAGTCTGTCAGCCAATGCTTTAAACCCGGGGTGACCACGCCGTAGCCCTTTCTTGCTACGATTGGCGGGTATAACGTCAACTCACAGCCCTCCTCGTGGTGAGCATGCCTTTCGGACCTTCACGCCTCAAGGCAACACAGGTCCCATTAGAACGGCTTGACACCACTCCTGACGCCTCGGAGCGATGAGGAAGTACACAGGAGGCTGCGGGCGGATTCTCGAGCATTCCATTGTAGCACGGATGCGGGCGTCTATCGTCGCTGCTAGGACATAAATACCATCCTCTCGCACCTGCTGCCCTCAGGTTTCAGTTTCGTACACTCCCCTTCACCCCCTCGCCCACTTTATCCGCCCTCCCCGACCACCCTCTTCACGCCTACTATGAATTTCCTCATGAACACCCTTTTCCTCTTTTTTGCCACCCTCTTCGCCTTCGTCGCCGCTGCCCCTCTTTCGCTCCAGACGCGCGACGTCTACGACCCTCACGTCACCTATCCCTTAGCAGGAACTGTATGGAAAGTTGGAGAGCGTCACAATGTCACTTGGTGCGTCCTTTGCCGTTGGCCTTTGAGAGCAACCGCTGACGCTAGATTGTTATGGAAATAATAGGGACACTTCGGACGCTCCCCAGCAGATCACGAATCCCATCGGGCAGATTGTCTTGAGCCAGGGTGACGCTCTTCTTCCCTGTAAGCCGCCCTCGCGCTTGAGTGTTTCGTGTTATCGCGTACTCATTTTGACATGCAGACACCCTCGCCTCAAACTTCAGCATTCTCGATGGCAGCGCTGAGGTCACCGTTCCCACTGTCGACTCCGGGAACTACAGCCTCATCCGTAAGCATCATGACTCCCTCGTTCCGCTGTGCGCGGTGCTCACTCCCCCGATTTTTGCGCAGTCTTTGGGGACTCCGGCAACCACAGCCCCGTTTTCGAGATCACAAACTAACGACGTCATGACATCTCGTCAGATATTACTGACACGGACATGATCATGGACACTGACACGGACACGGACACAGACATGGACTCGGACTCTTTCACGGACACGAACAACACATACTTACCATACCGTCACTACTAGTTACACGCTCACAGCACTTCGGTTTCGGACTTGTCGACATGACACCCACTACCACCACTGTGTTCTTAGCCACCTTCGTAGCGTAACCTTCTGATAATACAGCTTTCCATTTTTGCTACGTGTTTCAGAGAGAGGACAATCAGATTTTGTTACGGCCTCGTCGAAGTGAACTGCTTGAGCGAGGAAGACAGCGCAAGCCGAGTGCGGCCGATTCGACCAAACAGCGCCAAACACGCGGCTGCTTCTGCTCGTCGGTCACGTCCAGCAGGACAGCAGCGCTCACCATGCAGTCCCTATTCCGTCGCTGCTACGCGACCCTCCCCGACACCGCAGCAAAAGCCCGCACATCCTCGACACCGCGTGCAGTCCGCCTGCGCCGCCTCCGCAAACGCCCCGATGCCGCCGCAGGCAACCCCGACCTGCTGCCCTCCGGCCTCACCCCGACCGAATTCGCGCGCTACCAGCGCGCCCTCGCCAAGGGCGAGCTGATGGGCCCGGACGGGAAGGAGCCGACGGAGGAGGAGTGGCTCGCAAAACTGAACGCGCGGCGGACGCGCCTGCGCGGCACGCGCCAGGTCGCCAACGCGGACGGGACGAAGGACGTCGAGGTCGTGGGCCAGAAGGTGTACCTCCCGAACATCATCTTCCGCCTCATGCGCAACCACACGCCGCGCGGGCAGGCGTACAACCCCTACGAGGCGACGTTCCGCGTCCCGCAGTCCGTCACGAAGACCGACGTCCGCTCGTACCTCGCGGCCGTGTACGGCGTGCAAACGACGTACATCCGCACGGACAACTACATCTCGCCTGTCGACCGCAACTGGGACCTGTCGTGGACCCGCACGTACCCGGCGCGCACGTACAAGCGTGCGGTCGTCGGCCTCGTCGAGCCGTTTTACTACCCGGATGCGGTGGAGGATATGAGCGCAGAGGAGCGCAAGAACCGGGAGACGTTCATTCAGGATGTCTACCGACCTCAGGGCCAGAAGGACGCTATGAAGCTCCACTGGCTCAGGGAGACGAAGAAGAACAGCAAGAACTGGGCGTGGCGCGGCGGGTTGACGGCTCAACGAGGGTCCATCCTGAGGAAGATTGCCGAGCAGAGGGCGTTGCGGGAGAGGTTTATCGAGAGCACGAAGAAGGACATGCTGGAATCGAGGCGGGAGGCACGACGACAGGCTGCTGTTCCCGCATAATTTCTATATATCCCATCACGTCCGTACTACTTCTCTCTAATCCCCATCTGCTTTCTGCGCTCGACTTGCCTGCACTCGCCTCCATTTGTTTTTGAGTTTTCAGGAAAGTGCGAATATCACGTGCCGTGAGAACGAAACTGCGCTGCACGTGACTATGTTTTTTTCGCCCCCCATTTATTTTGTCGCGTCTTTATTTAAAGACGCGTCGAGCCCGCCTCGGGCATCGCCTACGAACGACCCTCGCTCAAGCAACAATCCCTCGCTACACGCTCTCTCTTTCTTGTGTATACAAGTATCCCGCCCCTCTTCCCTCGTAATGCTCGCCCTCGCCCTCGCCGCCTTCCTGCCCGCAGCGGCCGCCGCAGTAGTCCGCCGAGGCACTGCCGAATGCACGCCCTTCAGCACCACTTTCCCCGACGGGTCTGTTGCGCCTGCTGGCTACGCTTCTGCCGACACGCCCTTCATTGGAATCAGCCCGAGCGGCTCATATACCGTGGGTGACGGCCTACAGCTCTATCTGACCCGCCCGGTCGGGGACGTCAAGACCGCCGACGGCGTGAACGACAAACTCGGAAGCGGCGCAACAGTCAATTCAACCTTCGAGCTTCTGTGAGTCCTCGCAATTTCAAACGCGCATTCGATTGTGATCGTACTCACGGGGCGTCCGAACCCATACACGAATAGGTACGGATCCGTGACCTACGAGGTCGCGAGCCCCAGCGTCCCGGGCATCGTCACCGCCGCCATTCTCATCGGTACGTGCGCCCGCAGAATGCTTATAGTGTAAATGCTGGATCGTCTGATCCGGATCTCGCCCGCCAGCCGACGAGCTGGACGAAATGGACATCGAGCTTCTGGGCGGCGATCTAAACCACTGGCAGTCGAACGTCTACGCGCCCAGCCCCGCCGACACGCAGCCGCTCTGGGGCGTGTTCGGCGACATTCACGACTTCCCCACCGCGGGCGACTCCGTCGTCGAGACGCACAACTACACCATCGATTGGTCCGCCGAGCGGATCGTGTGGAAGCTCGACGGCGAGCAGGTGCGCTCGTTCACACCAGGTACGCGAGGCTCGATATATTCCTCCAATGACGCTCCGACTGAACATCCTCGCAGCCGATGCGGTCAAGAATGGCACGGTCCATTACCCCTCGCACGCCGCGCGCCTGCAGATGGGCATCTGGGATGCCAGCAGCCCCAAGGGCACCGCCGCCTGGGCCGACGGCCCTGTCAACTGGGCGAACGCGCCCGCGACCGTGAAGGCCGTCATCAAGAGCGTCACCGTCGAGTGCCCCGACTCCGCTTGAAATTGTAGCACTAGCCCATTTTATCCTCGCAAGTCCCGAACCTTCTGTGACAGGAACGGACGCTGTCATTACTGTATCTTCTAGCTTTGTTGTTCTCTAGGACAATTGTACATGCTACGTGTACGAACATCGTTTAGCCCTGCAGCTGCTAACCTCCCTACCTATCTACAGTATATAATCATAGAGCATACTAACAATAGACCATCTATTTCTCGACTATATGAAGAAATGCTCGGGTGCTGTCTACCTGAGAAGTCGGTTTGACCGGATGCAGTGACTTCGATGGGACGTGTTGACTTGACCTGCGGCGCCCATTATCTCAGGGAATACATCTAGATCGTGCAGTCTATTACACTTTTCAACTTGCCCGTGTCATGAGTGCAGAATACAATTGAGCATACATTTTGCACGCACGATGCTAGTGAACCACGCGTACGGGCACGATAACTGGAAATTTGACGATCAGATGAATTGACGAAACCAAAGGCTACAGACTTGTGATTTTTTTCATGGTACGAGAAATTCCGACTTTCTTCGCTCTGGCCTCTCAGATAAAACAGTTCGCTACGCTCGCACGAAGGCAATTTATGTGTGCACCGCAGAGGAAGGCAAAAATAAAGGGCTCAATCGGGAATTGAACCCGAGACCACTCGCAGCGCATTCGGATCCGAAGATCAAATCCCAAAGCGAGTATCATACTACTAGACCATTGAGCCATGTCTACTGAGCCACATACCCATGCCATGTTGCGGACCTAGCAAAATGCTGACGGCACTAACATTCGTCAGATTGCGAAGATGCGGGATGCAATAAGGCTGGCCGATGGATGTTCAGATCCGCTATCAATTGCTCGAGGTAAACCGCATCAGCGGCGCCCTCTACTCCTCCATGCGGTGTCCACAACTTTCCCTCGACCGCCCATCTCCATTTCTGCCCACGCCGCGACGGGTTATTTCAGGTAACTAGATCGAATGCAGCAGAGGGGTTGCGCACCAGATAACGGACGAGCTCTTTGTCAGTGGGCGCGACATAGCGCCATTCGTCAGCCGTCCCACAGAAGATGCGATATGAATCCACAGCATATGGTCCACTGCCCGGAAGATGAGAGATGGGCGACTGTGCGAGTCGCTGCGTTCCTTGGCGTCTCGCGGCATCACTAGCATCAGCTTCGAAAAGCGATGGGTCCGAGTAGTACCTGGATAATCTTGGCCGGGTACGAATAGGGGGCTGCTCGACGTAGGCGCGCGATAGTGCGATCAAGCGCCGCGCGCGCCTGTCCTGCAGCCCGAGGGAACGGATGCATTCGCGCAGCTCGCACAAGTCAGCTGTACACGCGAAGAAGACGAACAATAACCAAACGTGTGCGACGGGTAAAGCCAGCGAGCGTGCTCACCGCCAGACATGGCCTCCGCTGATGGCCACCACTCCATGATGGTCCAGAAGATAGGTATCGCATTGCGGCCGGCCGTCTTGTTGAGAAGCATCACAGCAACGAGGACCCTCCACGGATCATCCGCTACGCATTCTGTGTACGTAGTACCCACGAGAATGAATGGTTAAACGCGGCCTGCGAACGCTGTCACTGCCAGTGGCGATTGTGTGCGCACCTTGGATCAGAACCGGTTTGGCAAGGAGCAGCCTCTGATGCCGGTCAATACATGTCAGGAAGTACATGCAATAACCGGGGGCGTCGTGCATCAGTGCCATATGTCGCACCCTCAGGTCCTCCGAACAATCTGTGATGCTTAGCAATGACTCCATAGCCAGAGTCTCGACCGAGGATGGGGCGCAGATGCGGTTGGAAGCATCAGCTGGGACAAAGAACCTTGATGAAGAGGATCCATGGGTGTGATCCCCTGCCATTTCTACGAATGCAATGAAGCTCGTACACACGTGTGAAGGAGACAACCGACCTGTGCCGCAATTAGACTATCCCAAGCAAACGGAGAGATTCGGCTTCGTGCTCGCAGTTGCGGTCTTCCCAGAGTAATATATGCTAGGGCATGCTCAATGGGCTGGGGACGCCGGTATGATGCTCATGCAATCCACAGCTTGACAATGAATGAGGACTGTTGAATGATGAGTCGTTCAAGTGGCGGTGGAACTGGCGCTACCATTGTTTCGGCAATGCCCGATAAGCGAGCCGGCGGCGTATCAAGCATTTGGCGCCCAGCGGTTGGAAGTTGAATTGTACGAACCGCGAAACCTCACCCACCCTACAAACGCCCAACCTGCAATGTTGATATAGCTAATGACAGACACATATGGGACCAGCACATACTACAACTCATGACTCTGACCTCTCAAAAATCGTGCGCGACCAGCGCAAACACGTTCGTGTCGTCTTGTCTCAATTTATACCGTAGATTGCTCAAATAGCACCATTTAGATCGCTCACCTCGAACTGCAGCTTCGTGCGCACGAATGCCGTGCCTCACAGCTGCAGGAGCGACTCTTGGTAACACTAGATACCCTGGATGCCACGCAGTTGGCGCACACCCAGGAGCTGATGGCCGAACAGCGCGAGAAGGAAAAACTGGCGCACACCGTGCACGTCTACGCGCAGTCTCTGAGGTCCGTGGAAGCAGAGCGCGACGACCTCAGAGACGCCGTCGCGCAGCTCGTCGAGAAAGGTGCGGTGATCCGGATGTGTCTGCGAGTGCGAGCCTGGCTCACCCTCGCCCCTCGGCCTTCGTTCTTCGTTCCTCGCGGCCCTGACTGCCTCAGTCGATCTCTGCAACGACTTCTCGCTATGGCCACATACGGCCCTGCACCAGACCTCGCTCGCGGGTAAGTTCCCCCCTCGCGCCATCTACCCCCGTACCTTTCTCCCATCTGCATCTGCATCTGCCACCGCGCCGTGATTGACACATACCGTCAGCAGACCACGTTGCCGGAGACCGGGCCCCCCGGGCGCGCGTCCCCCCCGCCGACGCAGATGCCCTGGCGTACGCGTCCTCCCTAATCGCGTCGCTCAGGGCCGAGTGCGACGCGGAGCGCACGGCACACGCGCGGACGGCAGCGGAGGGCAAGGCCCAGGTCGCGCAGCTGCAGGCCAGCATCGCGCGCCGCGAGGCCGAGCTCGAGGCCCGCATCTCTGATCCCAAGTGTCCGACCTGTGCGCTTCTGCAGGCCGGCCGCTGGGGTACGGGGGCGGGCGGGAGCCCGCGCGCGGCAACGAAACGGATGTCGCGCGAAGAGGCGATCCGGGTGCTCGAGCAGTCGTCTGCGCGGAACCACCGGCTGACGGTCGAAGTCGATACGCTGATATCGAAGGTGGGTGCATTGTTACGCGTGCTATCTCGTCTGGCGGTGCCCTGATAGTTTGCGGAATGTGTTGCAGCTCGAAAAGGCTCGCGAGCAAGAGAATACGGACAAGGAGCACGGCGACGGGTCGCCGCAGCATTCCGCGCGCCACGCTTCTGCTCGAGCTTCTGATGCCGCCGTTGACGTCGCAGAGGCAAAACACGGGGCTAGCAAAGCTGTATTGGATGTAGCCCAGACACCCATCGCGAGGCACAGCACGCGCAACAGCAGCAACAATAGCAGCGATCTCGCTGATTTTGCGAAGCAACGGGGGTCATCAGAGCCCGTCGTGTTGTTAGATCGTCAAATCGATGCGCTGGCGAGCGATCTCGATGCTCTCAGATCAGAACGCCGTCTCCTGGTAGCCGCAATCGCATCTCAGCAACCTTTCATGGTGCGTCCACTAATTCATACACATATCCACGTCCACATCCACCCACATATAATCATACACCGCCAAACGGAACTGATGCCACACCCAGCCACCGACTGCCGCATCAGATACGGTCCACCACGACGACCCCGACGACGACCCCGACGCCGCCTTCGCACACGTCCTCCTGATCGAACACGAGTGCCTACGGTGCGTTCGCTCCGCCTGATTGCGCCCTCGCCCTTCTGACAGCGACACCGCACCACGCACGTCGCCCGCGCGCTCCAGGCTGACAGCCGTCGAAGCCACGCTGCGCGGCGACCTATCGGCAACCAAACGCGCCGCTTCTGCTCGGGAACACGTCCTCCGCAGGGAAATCCGCGCCCTGCGCGCGTCTGCGGATCTCCTGCAGGATCAGGGCGGTGACGGGGCGTCTGGGGCGGGCGAGCAGCCCATGGAGCTGGCGACGCCTTTGCAACCTGCTACCCAGCCGGCGGGCGCAGGCGCAGATGCGGACGAGGATGTGGATGCGGACTGGGACGTGCCGCTGATACATCTGTCGCCGCCCACGGAGACCTCGCCAGTCCCGCTCCCGGCTCCAGCTCCAGCTCCAGACCCACCCGACTCGCCCGCGCTGCCCGCTGGGTTTTTGCTCGAGACGGCGGAGCTGGCGGACGTGCAGCACGGCCTCGAGGCGGCCGCTGCGGCGCTGCGGGAGAAGGAGCGCGAGCTGCACGTGCTCCGGGGCGAGCTGGATTCGTTGCACCGCAGGATCACACCTTAGTGCTTATGCCTTAGGGGCGGGAGCATCACCGCGAAGCACGAAGCACGCGTGCCGCGCGCAGCAGCAGCATGCCGTGATGATCACCTCACCTCGCCTTGCCTCGCGTCGCCTTTTCTGAACGTCAGGATCTACGCATGCGGCGGACGCGCTGTCAGTGATTCAGACGCTTCCATTTCCGTTTGCCGGACATCTCGTCTTCTCCGAGACGGCACTGGATGCCCAGATGCAGATGTGGATGCAGATGCAGATGCAGATGCGGATTTAGATGTAGATGCAGATGTGGGACACTGTTATCTTTTGTTGCTGTTTTTGTTGTTGTTTCCATTGCTGCTGCTGTCGTTTTGGTTTTGATTTTTGATTTTCGATTTTGTTGCTGTTTATGTTTATGCTTATGTTTTTGGAATAGCTTTCGTTCGTTCGTTCGCTCGCTCGCTCGTCTATCGCGTACAATGTACACGTCCCAATACGACCTCCTTCCCTCCCATATTCGCGTACCATGTACACTTATCACAATAATCCAATCAGCCTACCACATCACATCCACAGTAGACTACCCAGTACAACGCCCTACGAGCCCCTCGCGCCCCCGCCCCGCCGCTTGCCCTCCCTCCCCCTCGGCTTCGGCGGGTCCACATACGCCACCGGCGGGCCCCTCAGATCCGCCCAGCGCTGCCACGTCTCGCGCGGGCCCTTCGCATGCGGCACCTCGCTCGGCGGGCGCGGCACGCGCTCCTCGCCCTCGTCCCCAAATCCATCCCCATCCCCATCCCCGCCGCCCCTTCCACTTCCACTTCCACTTCCGCCCGCATCGCGCTTCAGCGGCGTCCCCGGCGCGTACGACGCCACGGTGACCCGCTTCGTCTTCGCGTCGAGCGAGAGCACGCGGTGCGTCTGCTCCGCCCCGCGCAGCCCACCCGCGTCCCCCCCTGCCCCTCCCGCGCCTGCCTGCCCGAGCGTGGGGAACGCGCCCGCGGCGGCCCGCGCGTCCTCGAGCGCGCGCAGCCGGGCGCGCTCCTCGCGCGCGAGCGTGTCGTCCAGCTCGGCCTGCAGCTGCGCGAGCAGCGCCGCGCGCGCGGGGGGCGTGAGCAGCGGCGCGCCGCACGCGGGGCAGGGCGCGTGCGGGCGCTGGAGCGCGCAGAGGACGAGGCCGCAGCGCTTGCAGAGCGGGGTGAAGCGCGAGAGCGGGTGGCTGCGGGCTGGAGAGTAGAGTATCACATTGAGGAGTAGGGGGTTAGTGGAATGGTGAGGCGCAC